ACGCGAAGAGAGAGACCCGTGTTGCGCGTCTGCGCCCTATCCAACGAAGACGAGGGTCGTGCATGAGGAAACACGGACGCGGCGCGTGCTTGCCCTCGCTACCGAAGGCGGGGGGCGCCCAGAACAAAACGTGCGTCGGACATCCGCGCCCTCGCCACCGAAAGCGAGGGACGCGATAAGGATAAGTGAAACGTCCACGCCCTCGCCCCGGATGGCGAGGAACGCGTAGAAGGAGACGCGTGTTGCGCGTCCGCGCCCTCGCCACCGAAGGCGAGGGGCGCGCATAAAGAAAGACGGGCGCCGCGCTTGCGTGCCCTCGCTCCCAAAGGCGAGGGGCGCACAGAACAGAACGTGCGTCGCGCGCGTCCGTGCCCTCGCCTCCGAAGGCAAGGGTCGGGCGAAGGATAAGAGAGACGATCCCGCCAGTCCGCTCCCTGCAGAAGCACACCCCTGCACGGTGATGAAAGGCGTGCCACGAAGCGCGGTGAAGGTGAGAGGACCTGACGCCCCCACAGCGTGCGATGGCGAGGAGGAAAGCGGCCTGGAAGATCATAATACCCTCCACCGCCGCCGCGCTACATTCGAGAGCGCATGCGGTGGCCCCGTGATAAGGATCAAAAGGAACGACCTCGGGAGGCGCGCTGACCGCCCACGAATAGGCACTGCGCGCCGCCTCTCTCGCCACCGCGCAAGAGCAACACGGTCGAGGGCCCGGTTCGTGGGGTAGACGTGTGGGACGGGAGGGACGTGAGCGCAAGGGCGCAGCGGAAAGGGACGCGAACAGGAGTCGTGAAAAGAAAGGACCGGGAAGGCAGGGCGAGCAATACGCTGACGCAAGGGCGAAAGGCCGTGAAAGTTGAAGTGCTGCAGAGAGAGCTACGACCGCAGCTCACTGAAAACGGAAAGCAGAAAGCACCGAGCACGGACGGACAGGGGATCACGAGGGCGGTAAGGATGACTGTCGCTCGGCTGCGAGGAGGTCACAGACAGTTCTACAAACACCTGTGGACGCGGACGTCCACACTTGAGAGGGGGGCCATGTAGCATATCCCTCTCCCGGAATTAGATTTAGATTAGATTTGTAACTGTAGAGCCGGAGCTCTACAGTACCTCAGTGCGCGCGCACACGTGTACCCCACGTGTACGGGCGCGCGCGCACACACGTGTACGACATGTGTGCTGCCAGCCCCGACGGCTGACAGCACTACAGTGCAGGCCGACCTGCACTACTGTAATGTTATAATAGGTGACTCTGTACATTAAATATGAGCGGACCGCCGGCGGTGGAGGACGACAAGCACGGACTTGTCAAGGATCCTCCACCTTGGTCCGCCCGCTTACTTTTAGGTACTTTCGTCCGTTTTACCGAGGAGTCGCACCGCGCGCGGGTTGAGGACGCGCGTAGCACGCCCATGAGCCGGCTCCGCCTCCGCCCGTCGGTACTGGATCGTCACCCAGTACCGCTCCGGGGCGTCGAGGCGTAGAACCGCTCGCGCGTGCGCGCGTCCTCCCCGATCCCGCTCTACCACCGCTACCTCGAGCCCCTGCTCGGTACCGTGGGTGGGCCGTGCTTCTGTCTTCCCGCCGATCGGGGTCTTTCTGAACTGTCAGTACTCACCCCCCGTCGTCGTTGGGGGTGATTATACTACAGATACAGCATCTCATCTGACGTCTGCGGCCCCATCAACCCTAACTCCAACCAAGGAAACAAGTACTTCATGACAGTTGTTGACACAGCAACACGCTATGCGTTTCTAATATTTCTTTCATCCAGAACACAAGTACCCAGCGCCCTAACCAATGCCATAGAACTACTTTCAAGGCACTGATCACAATACCCGCAAACCATAATCACGGACAACGCAAAAGAGTACACATCCAAATATGTACAAGACTTCCTCGCCAATCGCGGCATACGATTCCGCCCAACAACGCCTTACATACCACAAGAAAACCCTATCGCCGAGCGTATCAACCGTAGTGTCATGAACTCTGCAAGAGCGGCCCTGTCCCACAGCAAACTTCTCATGACATACTGGGAAGACGCCATAAGGGATGCCACTTTAAGTACAATCTCAGCTACCACCATGCTGGCCACAACATTCCCCACACACTATAGCACGGTTCGCCACCTCTCATTGACAACATATTCATCTTCGGCCAAATGGGTACGATCCCCATACTAAAAACACCGAAGACAAAGCTGCAACCAAGAGCACAAACAGCCCGTTACATGTACGGCATAGATCAGCATCATATCAAAGTCTTCAAGACATGCACGCAAAAACAACAAACAGTCCGAATATCCAACTTCGCGCTATAGCACTGCAACACGGATCCCTCCACGACGACAGCAGCAGTTTTTGCAACACGAGCACAAAAAAACACCATACCCACAACCATAGCAACTACAACACCCCCACCCCGCAATCTCAAACAAGCGTGCAAGTACCCTGACGCCGACCTCTGGGCGCAAGCCCATGACGCCGAACTGAACCAATTAGACAAGCGCAAAGCAATTCTCTGGACACCACAGCAACCCTTTCCGGACTGCAGTGAGATCATCCCGATGACGATGACATACCGATACAGAACAAGCACGCATACACCCCACCAAATCGAATGGAAAGCGCGGTGCTCCGTCCGCGGGGACAAAATGCAACCCCACACGCACTACGACCTGAACCAAGTCTCAACCATCATGGCCGAAAAAGCGAGCATACGCACTTTATTTGCCCTTGCCGCAGCCAACAACCTACACCTGGAACACTTAGACATCACAGCGACATATTTGCATGAATCATACACACATAAGACCCCAGTCTACGTGTGGCAACCGGCACGCTTCGATGGCACATACAAGCACCCCACCGTAGCCGGACAACTCAAAGGCAACGTATACGGCACCCCTCCCGCTGCACACATTTACGCCACCAGACTACACGACCACCTAAATAAACATGGATACGTACAAGCCAAATCAGACCCATCCGTCTTCAGCAAGAGAACCACAGACAAGTTCTTCATGGTCGCCATCAGCATGGACGACTTCTTAGCAGCGGCCCCACACAAGGCACTCAATGACGACTTCCATGCTGTCCTCGCAGCCAAATACCAAGTCAAAAGAATAGGAAAACCGACATCCTACCTAAATTGGCACATAAAGTACACAGAAAGAGGAATGCACATATCCCAACCACGACATATCCAACAGGTAGCGAAATACCTGAACCTGGACAAAGCATCACCCCAGCCGACACCAACAATAGAGGGCACAAGCATAGACCCGCCAACAGATCTCGAAGAACAAGATCAAACCATCACGCCACACTTTCGAGCCGCACTTGGCGAAATACGGTATACTGCGGACTGCACCCGCCCGGAAATAGCCTTTGCCGCCGCCGCACTGGCACATGCCACGCAAAAACCCACCGCGCCACACTGGAAGCTCATAAAACGAGTCGTCAGATACCTGCTCGCCACTCCCAATCACGGCCTACTGTACCGCAAAAGCTCACAGGACACGCAGCTCACAACATTCTCCGACGCTGACTTCGCCAATGACGCGACCTCTCGCAAATCGTTTTCGGGAAACATCTACATGCTGAACGGCGCCAGCATTCACTGGCGTGCTAAACAACAGCCGATCGTGGCGCAGTCCACATGCGAAGCCGAATACGTATCTGCGGCCGAAACAGCAAAAGGCACAACCTGGATCCGCAACATGCTCACTGAACGAGGCCTTCACCAGCAAGCTCCAACTCAGCTGCAAGTCGACAAGACATCAGCTGTGCAAATAGCGCAACAATCCGCCCCGACCAAAAAGCGCAAATGCATAGACATCACGTATCATCTAATTCAAGACGTCATCCACAACAAAGTCATCAAAGTGAACCACATACCCAGCAACCAAATGCCAGCAGACGGCAGTAACCAAGCCACTCAAACGCACACTGTTTGAGAAGCACAGACAACACCTCGGCGTCATACCAGCGCCCAAACAAGTAGCGTTCCACCTCACACTCACAGTCCTTGGCCCGCAACCCGCGAGTCAGGGGGACTGCGATGGCACCCAAAAAGACACACCTCGACTCGCGTGTCACGGAGCCAGGATAGCTCACCTCCAAGTAGAACAGCAGCACGGTGATGGCACCCAAAAGCCACGCCAAATAGCGTAACTTTTAGCGTCAGAATTGGATAAAAGCGCGCCGTCCCTCGCCGGCATTCGCGGCGAGGGTAAGGAACGAGAGTTTTGTCATCACACGCAATTATGAACACCAACCAAGTAAATTTAAGGTAAAGGGGGGGTGCTGGAGACGTCGAACAAAAACCTCAATATTAAAAGGAAAAAGTACTTGTAATTGTCAAGCAATCACCATTTTTTATGTTTTGCGACGGGGACACTCTCAGCCTGTCGTCTACTGGGACTTGGCGAAAACAACCACGGACACAGAAGAGGAGTGAGATTGAAGCGCGCGGACACTTTTGCACCTCAACCGAGCACTAAGATCGGACATCCAAGCAAATAAATAAAAAATAGAAAAGTCCGCCTACTTTGTATTTTTGGGTTGTTGCACACTTATACGTAGAAAGCCGTAAGCAATCGATTGAGATATTTTTTCTTTAATTTCAACCACGTCGTTCTGATATACGGCGCACTATCTGGCGCCGTTACGCGCGGCGGTGCTCCTTGGCCCGTGTCGGAGATATTTTTCAAAATATTTTGCATGTCCGATTTTTTTGTCACTGTCCGACAACACCAGCAACCCCCCTTTACGAACAAATTGATCTCAATACCGGTCATCCAGAATACAGTACGGGGACGCGCAATAGTGCCGCTTCTATTACAGGAGGGACGCGCAATAGTGCCGCATCCATTACAACGGGCGACGCGCAATAGTGCCGCTTTCATTATTGCCACCCTTGTATTAGTGCCGCAAAAATCGGCAGACACAGGTTCTGCCACGTGTCGTTCGCTACGTCGTCATCGCCCACTCCTCATGCGCCTCAGCTCAATTGGTGATGGCACCTCACTCTTTCCAGCACACTGGATTCCTGAAATGATCGCCAAAGCGAAGCGTACGCGCCTTACGATTGCACAGAAAATCGAGGTTGGGCATCTGCTGCAGGTCAAGAATGCGAATACCACAGTTCTGCGTCAGTTCAAAATTTCGGAGAGAACCATCCGAAACATCAAACTCTCTCTTCCTTCACTCCAACAAATTGTGGCCAACACCGCTACAACGCTCGGAACAAAAACTTTGCACCCTGCGCATTACCCTGCCCCACTCTTGAAGCTCACTTGATTGAGCCTGGTGCCAGAAGACGGCCTTGCAGAAACTGCAGAATTCTGCAGGAAAGATGTGGAGGAATGGATTGAGATTGAGACTAATGAGCTTGTGGCAGAAGCTTCTATTAGTGATGCTTGCGATTCAATACATTATGGTGGAGAGCTACAGAATCAGTCTGCCAGTGATACTATGATGGATGATTGTGTGCCAGAAGACGAGTGTGAAATTACGGAGAGGCGGGCCGTACCGAGTGCTGTAGTGCTAGCAAGGTTGTTTGGGTCTTTGGAGAGTCTGGGTGTGGAGTGCGATGTGAGAAATGCCTTATCACACTTCAGGTCCGCAAAACGAGCTTTTCTAGAAGCTAGGCATGAACCCAGAGACTTCCCCTCCATCTCTCCAGCTTCCTCTCGTCCAGTGTCATGAGAACCCTTGAAGCTCTCTGCTATTGGCTTTGACTATTCGCTACTCGCCTGCTTTAGTCATTTTTCAAGTACTCACCAGACCGCATCGGCAAAGGAACATGCTTCGAATCGAATATTCAAATAACAGTTTTTGCGAGATCGCGGTCAATTGTAAAACAAAGGGTCTCTGTAAAAGCTATTGGAAAGACGGAGGAGCAAAGAAGGAGGCTTGTGGTCAACGTAGGGCGGGGATGAAGAGAAAACGCACAGATCAAAAAAGATAAATGCACACGAAACTTGAAGGTATACTAAGAACGCAAAAGCAACCCTTTTCCCCAACGCTTCAAACTGCCTCATCTTTCTTTTCTTGTTCATCCTTGTCATAGACTGTTAAGTTGTATATGTGATTAAGCCACAACACGAGACATATCTACATCATGGAAAAGAAAATCTTGTAAGAGGTAAGCGTGGATCTTCATAACTCAGTTGCAGTCGTTTAGAAGCTGGAGTTGCATTTCGCTGCAAGGGAGATACACAGAATGCGAGAACAATTTTGTGACATGACGACAGCAAACTCAGGATATGTTCTGCTTCTGTAAATTAATTACCTTAGACAATCCCTGCAAACGCAGGTATTACACATTCTCTCTACATGAACTGCAGTGTGTTCCACTGTACTACAACGAAAACAGAGTCCATCTCCATTTTTGCAGTCCATAACTATGCAGACGTATCACTGTAGTGTACTGTGCCCTGGGTAGTGCACTGCCTGCGAGACGCCCAGGGCATGTTGGGAATCGAACGTGGATATTTATATATCCTTTGGGATTGGGGGCCGTTGTTTCCGTGAGGGATTTCTATCCCTCTATCCCTCACTGTTCTGTACCTTTCACACATAGGATATCTACCTACGTTGTCGGAGGGCCTACAGCAGGACTTTCCAAATTTGGTGACAAGGCTTCCTCCCGAAACAGGATGCATAGACAGAAGGGTTAAACTTTTTCGATGCCTGGATGGTCTCATGCAATGTTAAGGGGGGAGAGTATTAGAGATTTCAACAGTGATACAGCCGTTTTAATGGGTAAATTCAGGGGGTATGCCACAGGATGTGTTTGTCACACACTACTGTACATTCCCAAACACGGTTCAAATTGATACTTGTCACTTGTCTATTTGTTCATGCAGGGCATCTGGCACCAATGAAATCACAACGGGCTTAAAGTGCGAGCTCAACACGGCGGTTGGCCCAGATATCTCGGTCAGCGGGGGGTCCGTGGAGCACATCCAGTGAGCAGATGACAATTGTGCCGTGATTGTTTCCATTACACTGGCGCATCTCATCCGATGCTTACCACAGTGGTCTTAACAGACTGCTGAAATCAGCAGTGCTGATTACTGTCTTCTAGCATTGGGACGCAGTGTTTACCCCTCCCACCTATGAACCACAGTATCCGACTAAAATTTATATCGTCAGCGCACCAGCCATACCTCCACTTCCGACCCTTCACCTCACAGCCGCCTTGCTTCTCTCCAAAACCTGACAACAACGCGCAAAGTACCCATACTCACATTCCCGCTTCATGAAGGCCCGGTCCGCTGGTCGACCCCCGAAGAGTCCCACGTCCTTGCAACCAATACTACCCACCACTCGTCTACCCCGCTCCGCAGCATCGGTAAAGCCCTTGTCCCTTCAACGGCTCCGCGTTCTATACGCAGACTTAAAGGCCCGCGATGCCAAATCCAAGTACCCCTGGCGTACCCTCATCCTCGTTTTTCTTTCCTTTGTTCTGCTTTCCGTCGTCCAGTTTGTTTGCACCACAACCATGGGTGCCATGTCAATCAAAGTCAACCTCCCGACCTATTCTATCTACCACAAGTACAACCAGATCTTCTATGAAGATTCAGATTTCGCCTACATACCCGAATCCAAGATCTTCATGACCACCACGTCCAAAGTAGGCTCCACGACCTTGTGGACCTGGCTGCACAAGGGCCTATCTGGCAAGTCTAGCGATAAAGAATGCAAAGGCTCCCAAGTTACAAACTTTCAGGCTCCTTGTTGGCAGGGAAAAGTCCTTCATCCACACAACATGACCGACTTAGAGCGATGGAAAATCTTGAATGACCCTGAAGTCCTGCGCATCGCCATAACCCGCAACCCATTTGAAAGGATTCTTTCGGCATGGAAGTCCAAAGCCGCATGCGAAAGCGATGACTTTGGTACAGATGTCAGAGAAAGAGACCGTCTCATTCCCGGTATGCTTCGCCAGGCCCAAATGAGGAAAGGTGCATCCTGTCTCAGTATAACCAGCTTCGCTGAAGTATTGGACAAGCTTCGAAGAATGTCTGAACGGGATGACTTCGACATGACACTTTTGGACAAGCACTTTCGACCCCAAGAATTTCATTTTGATATCATCAACTATCAATACATCCTGGATGTCAGTATGTTGGACAATGTGACCGCCTTGCAACCAATTGTTAGGCGCATGCCATTTCCAGAGTTACTCACTGAAGGACCTACCAAGTTAAGCTCGTCACGACCGGCGTATCAGACTCTTTCTGAACCCACAGCTGCCCTTCTATACAAATTCGCCATTCTCACTGAGGGACTGCCGCAAGAAATAAGAATACCATGAGTCATTAGGTTGATGTACAAAGGCTCGCACAAGAATGCCCATAGATAACCAAATCACTCACACAGTTCTCATTGCAAACATCTGTGGGGCCATGACAGCAGTTGGAAGACATCATTATCTCCCAACTTCCACACTTGGTCCCTTCAGACAAAAGGCAATTGGCACCAAGACGTGCTCAGGAGGACAATTTTATGCACCTGTTGGCCATTGGCGTCCTTGAACTCGTATATTATGTAGTGCTTTTGTTCATCACAAGACAAGGCTTTCCCGAACCATCGCGACCTTTTTCGTGTAAACAATAAACCTCCTTGGACTCAGTGCATTGAAGAATCTTCGAGCCTTCCCCGAGATCAGCGACCTGAATAAGTTTGGTCCCAGTCGTCGAAACCCATCCGTGAATGGTAGCTGGGTTCCCGTACACAAGTGCATGCGCTGGTATGTCTTTGGTAACAACAGCGCCAGCCCCAATGAATGAATAACTGCCGATGCGCACACCGCAGACAATTGTTGCATTTGCGCCGATCGTTGCTCCTTTTCCAATTGTTGTCGGAAGGTAGTCATCTTTTCTACTGACGTGGGAACGGGGGTTTTTAACATTGGTCAATACACAACTGGGCCCCAAAAACACATCGTCTGCAATTGTCACGGCATCGTAGAGGGAGACGTTGTTCTGGACCTTGACGTTTCGCCCCAGGGAAGCCTTTCCACCGATGTATACGTTCTGACCGACGTTGCATGACGGTCCGAGTTTTGCTCCGGGCATGATATGCGAAAAGTGCCAAATCTTGGTACCAGGGCCAATAACAGCACCGCTGTCAACTACGGCAGTGCTATGAACAAAAACTTGTGGGCACTGTGTCCCAGTCGAAAGGTCCACTCGAGCACCGTCCCTGCTGAGCGAGTCAGCGGCTGCAGAGAGCACTTTCAATACCCGAATGCCCTCCTTGCCGTCAGTTTGCGGGGGTTTATCACTTGACTGGCATTCCAGAAAATGCTCCACTGCGAGTGCCAGAGGAGGCTTATCCACGAGTTCTCCAATACGGTCCCTCGATTCGTTGGATTTGGTCAAACTGCTTATGAGATCTTCTTCTTGCTTTTCAATGACGACTCCTGAGCCATCAGCTTTTCTTTTAGCCGACCATTTGAATCCTTGAATTTTCGGAGCTCTGTCATCTGGCATGGCCTCGTTTAAAATAAGAGCCCCCTTCGAGCCATACACAATGAGGCGACGCTCCTTCAATGGATGAAGCCAGCTTGCTTCGATTTGAGCTTGCACACCGTCTGCAAATCTGAGACTCATATCGATATAGTCATCGATACCACACGTCACGACCTTTTGGCCCACGCATTGTACTGTAGCTGGTTCTTGATCCCCACAGATAGATAGTAAGATTGAGATATCATGGGGGGCGAAGCTCCACAAGACGTTCTCCTCCGTTCGAACGGTACCAAAGTTCATGCGAGACATACGTACCCTGGTAACCTCTCCAACGAAGCCGGTGCGGACAAGTTGTAACAGACGGCGATGTTGTAAACTATACTGAAGTAAGTGATCGACCATTAGAGTTACTTTTTTATAACTTGCGAGACGGGTAAGCTCTGCGGCGTGTTGAACATTGACGCAGAGTGGCTTTTCAACCAGCACATGTCTACTAGCATGGATAGCTTGCTTGGCAATGGAGTAGTGAGTGGCAGGGGGCGTGGCAACGACAATAGAAGCTTCTGGATGAGCCTGCATAGCTGAGGATAAAGCACCGAAGTACTCGACCTGTGTGTCCGGACTGAGACGTTCACGCGCTTGGTCGAGGGCGTTGGGATGTGGGTCGACGACCGCGACAAGCGCTTGGAGCTGATACGCAGTAGAGACGTGATTCAGACCCCATTTTCCTGCGCCAACTACGATTAGCTTGGATTTCTTTTCAGCAAGAAATGAAAGCATGATGTGATGCAGAGGAAGAGTGGGTGAATTCGGAAGAAGACGAGGGAACAGAAACGCGATGAGTTGCGGCGGTCTGCTCTAGCTAGGAAAGCTTTGTTCTTTGACAATGCTTGCAATGGGACTGCAAGAGTCGGATTGCATTTACCGTCTGAAAATAACAGTAAAGTATACGTTTTTATCCCTTTGAGAACAACACCTAGCTTTCATTGAAACGTGTCAAAAAGCATTTTGGCGACCCACGTGTCACTCTCCTTCCTTCGTTCAGTAAGGTACCCCTTTCAGGCGGTATCTCTACAGTCGGCTTAAACGACAGCGGCTCAAATGATACAGATGCGCAACGCATCTTCTGCCTTTGCAGCATCACCCCCGCTTCGTGTACATTCTCCTTCGCGGAGAAAGATCTGTTGTAGATCTTTTCCATCCAGAATACCGACCATGTCATCGCCCTTTTCACTTCGTGACACCCTTGCCGGTGGAATAGGAGTAACTACCGGCTTCGTATTGGGATTATTCACGCGCACAGTTTTCCGCCGCTTTCGCCCGCAACTAACAAGTCAATATTCTTCAGATTCTGAGGAAGACATTGGATGGGAACCAGCGGGCTCTGTAGGTGAGGCTCACAAGCTCGTGCTGTGCGTGCGCACTGACCTTAAGATGAGCAAAGGTAAAATTGCTGCTCAAGTCGGACATGCCACAATTGGCGCTTACAAGCGCGCAGAGACAAGAAACCCAACTGCTTTAAGAATTTGGGAGCACAACGCGCAACCAAAGATTGCCCTTCAAGTCAGTAGCAGGCATCAGGCAGAAGCACTCGACCGCGAGGCCAGAAGACGAGGCTTGGTCACCTACATGGTCCACGACGCAGGGAGAACGCAGATTGCTGCGGTACGTTGAATGAACTTTTGCATAGTGATGGTCATGGATTTTCAAGGTGACTTGAACAATTGGATTACCTTATTCTTTTAAGAAAGTACTAACTTATCGCAATTACGCTACTCGCCTTGCGACTAAACAAAAGGGAAGCTTGACGGTCCTTGCCGTTGGCCCCGGTCCAGATAGCTTGGTGAACCAGGTGACGGGATCATTGAGACTGCTGTAACAAAAAGATTGCCAGCGATGCATCATGGGAGCAGAGAGCCATTGCTCACGACCTCGCTTTCCTGTGAGTGGCAAGCCAATGCAGGATACAAGAGAAAGTTAGTTTGAGAGTTTTTTTGAGGTGAGAGAGTTTTGAACGCGTTCGACTCGTGTGCACTGACCTGTTCCACGATCGCACGTAGAAGATTTCAAACGCGTTTGGCAACGAGTTCTTGTGACAACCACCAGTTTCGGGCAACCCGAACCAAATCGGAAATGCCTCGGAATCTAATTGAAGGTGCAACGGTTGATGGAAGTACTCGTTTTTTTCTTCTCTCACAAGCTTATCATTCAAGTACCACTGGATCTTATCCTCTTGCCAGTTGAACCCAACCTTCACGGGTTGTGCGCTGAGGTCAAAACCAGCATCATAGACTTGCGGAGAACTCATTTTGACACCGTTGGGATTGCGATGGACGTGCATATTCGTATTAAACAGCTGCTTGTACGGCTTACCAAAGCTTGTTGGTTTGTCGCTAGTTGAATACTCAAAAACGTCAAGTTCAGTCCACTCATTTGGTGTGTTGTAGGCAAACCAAAATGCACTAGAGATTTTGCTATCCATCATGCGACAGTAAATCTCAAAGTAACCGTAGAGACTTCTTTTGCGAGTTCTTACGAAAGCTGTGGAAAAGTCCTTGTACATAGAAGGAAAGTATGCAGGAGGGTTGTCCTCTCTTGACCGCAACTTCATGGATCCATTCTGGACAATCACATTGTCTTTTTTGAAGAAGGATGGCGCTCTTCCCTTCCATGTGGGGTTGATGGTCTCCCAGCGCTGTCTTCTCATCCACGAATCTGTTAGAGACCGTTCGAATTCATCAGACATTTCCCAGTTTTGGACCCAGCAGTGGTTCGGTCCAGGGTCGATCCTTGGCGGTGTCTTGAACGGTTCGTGGCGCGGTTTACTCATGCTGTTCTGTGCTGTTTCACAGTTGTTCCAGAACAGCAGCGGCGGTCTTAAATTCTCAGATCGTAGAAACAGAAAAGCTAGTGCTGGTCAATACGTTTCCTGTATCGGAGAGAATAGTACATAGCGATGCCTCCCTCTTCTGCTCCTCTCTTTCGATACTGCAAAAAAGACCATGCTTTGCGAATTGAAAGCAAAAGTGCGCAGGGCCCGTTGAGTGGGTTGCACGTTTGTCCTTTGCCCTTTGTAGATCGAAGTGTGGCTCGAGGACGTCTCTTGCTACCCCTCTGGGGCTCAAAACCTACATCTTGTGTTCTCCAGCAAGACAATGGCCAAAAAAACCTCAGGGCATGTTGAAGGGCGAATTCATCTTTTGGCCCGATGCACAAATATCACTTGCGGGTCGTTCGTTCCTATTGGTGTGAGTCTTCTCCTTGACAACAGCTACGTAGAATCTAGTTTCCATCCGACCGGGGCTTGTCCTCATATGAGGACAGCTCTTTTTTTGCAAAAATATATAAATTAAATTGAACATTCAAAAGCTACCTACTTTGGACACTATTTTCTTAACGCGCTTGTTTGCGGCAATAACATCTTGTACTGTAGAACCCCAGGATGGCAGCTTTGACTACTAGTTCCCTTTTAAACTGGCGTTTTTGGTTTCGAATTTTTTATACGCGGTTTTAAGGTGGTTTAAAAAAAGAGAATTTTTTTACGTACCCCTTTTATTTTGGAATGTTACGTACAGTGGGGACCACGATATAAGAGCACCCCGTGCCAACCCCTTCATACTGCTCTTAATCCGAGTTTGCTATGTACTATTCAAGAATCCCGCACAGGATGCCCATCTTACTCCTTAGAACGCTGTAGCATCTCACCAATAAGCAGTTGCCTGGACCCGTGCTGCGACCAATTCCAAAACGCTTCATCACAGAAGAGGCGCTCGCGCCATTTTGAAGACAACGCGCAGCCTCGGCTTTCCCTTTCACCGAAAGGCGCTTGCGCCTCTTCAGCGAGCCGTGAGCCACCGGTGGAAAGTGAGAGGTCATTTCGGAGCACCGTATTGATCCGTGCGTCGGAGAAACGGAACAGGCGGACTGTGGGCGAGACTTCTGAGATGCGTTTGAAATACCAGGCGAGAAAGGGACTGTGTGATTGCAATTACAGTGTTTGATGGTGCTTGAAGTTATGATACCGTGCCAAGCGAAAATGGTGCTCTTACTGCGAGGTCGTTCTTATTCAAAGTGCTCTTATATCGCGACCCCCCCCCCCAGGTGAAGCTACACATACACGGGTGGGTTTAAAGCTTGCATGCACACGTTACATAAATAGGCACTGAGTGTGTATTTGAAGCTACACATACACGGGTAGCTTGCATGCACACGTTACATAAATAGGCACTGAGTGCGTATTTGCAGATTCATGCAAACTTTCTCTTTCTGCACTTTAAATTCACTCCGCTACAGGCACCTTGTCATAAGTCAGTCTTTCGGATTTTGGGGATTTTATTTTAAAAAAGAGCTTTTGCAGACGAGCGAAGTTTTCAAGCCACGGAGGATTTCGATGGAACGACGGTGGATACATACCGGGATCGGAAATCCTCCCTCCATACCGAATTAAGCGGCGATCTCTTTACTGTTGGCGCACCTGCTGATACCGCATCAAAACTTCATGAGCTATGCTCCCCTCCACTTCTGCCCCAGCCCGTATTGCTGACAAAGAACTGGAGCGACTCAGACAAATGGGTACGGCTGTCAAAGAGGCAGGTGTCGGAGGGTATGTCGAGGTAGTCCCAGATGAGTCCGAAGCAGAACGTTCCGTTGGTGGTACGATATTCTATACCGCTGTACCGAAAGACACAAGTATTTGCGTTTTGGAACCCAACTTTCCCGTTCCATGTAGTCCTATGATATTGAAAAGGATTGCAACAGGTCAAGAACGTCGTCACGGGAATGAAGTCGGATGGGCATGCTCTGCCATAGAACGACGAACAATTGGTGGGGATAACCATCCTGTACGGTTGCGAGCTACGTGCATATTTGCTGGTATTAGGCGCTTTTCGAAAAATCCTTTGACCTCAGTTTCTAACGCCAATCTTCGTGACAGAAATTCCAAGAAGTGCAGATGTGAAGCAATGATCTCTGCCATACCCGTTGGAAAAATGGTAGTCTTAGCTTTGCTCTCGAAGTGGCAGCCAGAAATGCCATGCGGGATTCGGCTATCATATATTCAAATTCGGATACGACACACATGCATACTCAAATGATGAAAACTAAGAGCAAATCTCCTTTGGAGTCTTCAATATCTGACGAGTCTTCCATTTCAAATTCCAAGGAACCCTGCCCAGGTTTCGTCATTATCACAAATTGCATCACTAGGCACACGAACCACAAGCCGCGAGCCGCAGTTGGCGATATGAAGCTTCAGCGACTAGCTTCATCCATTGAAGCTGTGCACGTTCTACGTGCGACTCAATTCTTGAGAAGGGCAGTTCCAGATGTCTTTGTGCCTGCAACGGTCGTTCGTAATGCGCTTGCAGCGCTTCGAAGACAAGAAGATGACGCTACTGTCGCTCAAGATCTCTTTGGTGACATGCACCGCGCAGGAGATTTAACGCACATTTCCGTTGGTAGATCGGATGAACGGATACTAAACTACATATTCTTCGCGCCACGCGGGGCGCGAGAGCTTATTACCAGATGTGGTGATGTCGTCACTATCGATTCAACTCACCATATGACCAGGTATGACTATAAGACAACATGGTTAATCGCGGTTGACTCACTAGGGAAATCTAGATGCACATCTGTTCGTCTTACTTTGCGCGAGGACGCACGCACAATGTCTGGGATGCTTGCAGATTGGGCTATGGAAATGCGACCTGTGAATTCACCAGATCCTGTCCCGCTCCCTCGTGTCGTCTTTACAGATGACGACTGAGGGCTTTCGGAGGCGCTGTCAATGGCACCCGATGCTGACGCGCGGATGCACCTTCTATGCATTTGGCACCTTATCGGTAACAATGTGTACTCACACGTTGCCAACTGCCTGGAAGGCGGACCTAGCAACTGGATTCTTTCTCAATCGCAGATAGATGAAGTTCGTGGGAGCCCAACTGAGGGAGGGTTCGATCGCCTTTGGAACGAAATGATCTTGCGTTGGTTTCCAATGAATCCCGAAAACTTTCGACAGCAACAACGTGCTCGTAAGTATTTACAGCACCACGTTTATTCGAAACGAACCAGATGGGCATTGTGTTTTTCCCAACCGCTCCAACTTTGGGAGTGCAAAGCACACAGCGCTCTGAAAGTTTTCACGCTTTGTTGAAGAAAAACATACCAGAGTCAAGCTCGCTTGCTAATTTTATTGACCGCATCCTTAATCTTATCGAAAGGCAAAGTCAGAAGAAGAAACTCGCAATAGAAGGCCTCGACGAGCTCCCTTCGGCACTGGATACTTGCCCACGGACGAGTCACATTATTCGACAAGAGGCGAAACGCCATCGCCTGTCACGGGCCGCAGCAAGGATGCTTGTTAGCGAGCTCAATGCAACCTCTCGAATGAGTGCGAAAATTATTGAAAGTGATGCCGGGGATACTGGTTCCAGAGACGACCCCGTCCCCGCTCGTGTGGAATACGTGTTGCCACAAGCAGTGGCTGAACGAACATCTATGACTGTTGTGAATTTGACTGCAGCAGTTGCGTTTGCTGGCAACTCTCCATTGTCATGGCGCGGGGTACTTTGTTCTCGAATACCAGATGACGCCTGTCCCTGCATGTTCTCCTCTCAATTTTCGCTCCCGTGTCGCCATATTCTAGCAGCAGCTTTCGAGGTCTGCATCGCGGCGGCAGCCCACAGTGATCGTCGATTCACCGACCTCCTCGCAGGACTCGATATTTTGCACGAATACAACTTCATGGAGTACATCACTTTGCATTTGATCGGAGAGCGAGGGAGCGTATCGAAATCTGATTCAGATGCGATAGTCGCATCTTCTTCAAAAAAAGATGGCATTGTCATCGAGTTCGATTCGACAAGGAGAGTCGAGATGAGTAGCCAGATGCAAACCGGACGTGAAGCCTTTGTTGCCGAGCGAGTCAATTCTTCCGATGGCAGTGAAGAATCATTCACGAGCAGCTTGAAAGCACAGATGCGTTCATGGTGTACAAATGGTTCTAGAGCCCCGTGCGATTATCAACGCAAAGATTTTCCATTTCTCGACAGTGCCGAGTCCCGCAGACAAATTTACGGATCAATAGCTTCACTGGGGCGTGAGCTCGCTTCCTTATGCTCCTCATCAGAAGGGGGCGTTCTGTGTTGCTGAAAAATCGGAAAGTTGCTCTCGGAACTTGTAGCGGGGATGTCTTATATCGCGGGGCGATCGGGATCAATTGCAATGGCGGCACATCTCGACGACATCATTGATTGTTCTGCAAAAGAAGCTTTGACAGACCCCGCACACCCAGATGAACCCGTAGTGCTGCCCATCGTTGGTGACGCGGAACGCTTCCGTGTCATCCAGCGTGACGAAATCGGGGAGCATGTTGAAAAAGCCTTTCAAAAACGAAACTCTGACGACGCAGAAAAGCGAGAAGACCGAGACAGGAATGACGCTGTACCATTGTTGCGTGCGGTGAGCATCAGACAATTTCACCGAAAGCGCGTAAAGGGTCTACAAACGGGACAAAATGATCTCTCAAAGAAACGCAGACTCGGCGTTAAGAATAGCTATTCGGATGCGAGTATATATAGCCTTAGGAGTGAGTTTTTCGGTCTTCATCAAAAGCCGGAAGGTGCTCTGGAGCCACAAGATGGTGCTGTAGTCCTTGCAACCGATGAAAATCCGAGAAATACGTCTCAGCCTTTGAGGAATCCGCAACTTCGTAGAAGTGCGAGACGCAACAAACCTGCCAACGTCGCCCCACACAAGGCCCGTCCGTCAAGAAAAAGTAAGAAGGAAACTGCAGCACGAGTACCAGTTCGCCGCCGCACAGACACCAACAATATTCCCGTTATGATTTCGACAATAACGGGGCCACCGAAAAGCAGCATGATTGCTTGTCCTTTTTGTCAGCAAATTAAACTGCAACCAGTCTTCTTCAACGTCCCACAACATGAACTGACACGTCACGCGACTGAAATGGAAACCTTAACAGGAAATACTTTCAGGGATATGGCCGTTCGCGCAGCTCAAGAAAGGAGATCATCAACGGTAGCAAAGGAAGAAAAGGTACATCCTGGTACAGACGCCTTGAATGGAACCTCCATTGACGATAATGGCGTTAACATGAAGGTTTCAAAAGAATATCACCATTCTTCTGAAGCTGGTACGGATTCAGAAACGAGACCGCACAAC